CACCACTAAGCTATATATCACTCGCCATGCTCAATTTGATGAAACTCACTTTCATGCTATCCCTAGCTTCTAGGCCCAACCTCTTTCCTCTCTTCATATTTCTAATTTCTTGGTATTTGTTCTGACCTTGTGGATGAGTCTGTGTAGGTTGATACTTCTCGTGCAGGTTACACTTTGCCACCCTTAACTTCTGATCCGACCTCTATTGAACTTACTGTTGATTCCTCTTCTTTGGGCTCTAATCCTATGATCACACGAGCCAAAGCTAGTATATTCAAGGCTCGTCATCCAGTAAATCGTGGTATTTTGGGCTCATCTGGACTTCTTTATGCTCTTCTTGCATCCACCGAGCCAAAAGGATTCATATCTGCGACTAAGAATCCTGCTTGGGTTGCTGCCATGGATGAAGAAATTCGAGCTTTACAACAAAATGGTACTTGGACTTTGGTTCCTCGCCTTGCCAACACCAACATCGTGGGCTCAAAATGAGTGTTTCGCATTAATATTTGTCTGATGGATCCGTCGAGCGTTTCAAGGCTCGTCTTGTTTCCAAAGGTTATACTCAGGTTTCTGGTCTTGGCCACACTAACACTTTCAGTCCGGTTGTCAAAGCTACCACTGTCTGTGTTGTGCTTTCTATTGCAGTCACAAATAAATGACATCTTCGACAACTTGATGCCAAGAATGCTTTTCTCAATGGAACTCTTATTTAACGTGTTCATATGGAACAACCTCCTGGGTATATTGATCATCGCTTTCCCACTCATATTTGTCTATTAAAGAAAGCCCTCTATGGCTTAAAGCAAGCTTCTTACGCCTGGTTTCAACGTTTTAGCTCATTTCTTCTCACACTTGGTTTTTCTTGCAGTCGAGCTGACACGTCCCATTTTGTCTTTCATCAGCAATCTAGCCTTATCTATTTGCTTCTTTATGTTTATGACATTATTGTTACCATCAACAACTCATCTCTTATTGATAGCTTTACTCGCAAGCTTCATTCTGAGTTTGCTACCAAAGATTTGGGTTCTCTCAGTTACTTTCTTGGTCTTGAAGCTTCACCCACTTCTAATGGTCTCTTTATTAGTCAGTTAAAATATGCTCGAGATATTCTTACTCGTGCTTAGTTGCTCGATAGCAAACCAGTCCACACTCCCATGGTTGTTGCTCAACACCTGACTGCTGATGATTTTCCTTTCTCTGATTCTACTCTTGTTGGAGCTCTTTAGTACTTGACTATCACGTGTCCAGATATTGCCTATACTGTCAATTCTGTCAGTCAATTCTTGCATGCCCCTATTGCAAATCACATTCTTGTTGTCAAACGTATTCTTCGCTATGTTAAAGGAACATTCCACTTTGGTCTTACCTTTCGTCCATCCACTGTCCCTAGTACGCTAGTCGCTTATTCGGATGCTGACTGGGCTGGTTGTTCCGATACTTGTCGTTCTATATCTAGCTATTCTATTTATCTTGGTGACAATCTCGTTTCTTGGAGTGCCAAAAAGCAACCTATTGTCTCACTCTCCAGCTGTGAATCTAAGTATCGTGCTCTTGCCACGACTGCTGCTAAACTTCTTTGGGTTACGCATCTTTTGTATGACCTCAAGATCTCTATTTCATAGCAGCCCTTACTCTTATGTGACAACAAAAGTGCTATTTGTTTTAGCTCTAATCCGGTTTCTCATAAGCGGGCCAAACATGTTGTACTAGATAATCATTTCCTGCGAGAACTTGTTATCGTCGGCAAACTTAGAACAGAATATGTACCTTCCCATCTCCAAGTTCCTGACATCTTCACAAAAAGTATTTCTCGACCTCTCTTCGAATTTTTCAGATCCAAGTTTCACGTTTGTTCAAATCGGACTCTCAGCTTGCAGGAGGTGCTAAGGATAGTTGATCGTAGATATTTGTCTTACATTACGGCTTACTATATTTGTCCTTTTTATTCTTTCCTTTATTGTTCTTTCCGTATTATTTGTAATTTACCATATTTCTCTCTCCTATAAATGATTATAAATACAGAACTTTCACCGCATTTAGTTGGTGGTTTTAGCAAACATTTTCAAAGCACAACTTTGTTTCTAAGAATAAGAATTACCACGGTTAAGAATTGAATTTTGAAATATTAGACCTAACGAAAGCAGACAATACTCCAACTGAAAATAACTCCATCAAATTTATATGAAATCATATAACAGTAACTATATTTTAAATATTAGTAATAGTTAAAAATGAGATGTTTAATATATTTATATATATAATATTCAAAGATTTTATTAATGCAAATTTCTAATGCTCGCATGAAGTCGGACACGTAGATTATTGTAAAATGTAGAGAATTTAATTTGAAATTGATGTCATGGATTCACAATGGTTGACTTCAATACGATGGACAAAATCAAACTTTCATCAAGTATAAATTGGTGAGATGAACCTAAGCTAATCAAGTAAGTGGTCTTACTACAGGATATGCTAGAAATTGTATAAGTTATGATGATGTATGAGCTGCATCGTATGACGTCGATGATGTATGAGTTATGATGCTTGATGATGTGTTTGATGTATGACGTACTTGATATGTTTTATGCACTTTATGGCAATATGATGAGTATGATGATTGCATGACGTTTGTCATAACATGTTGATGTTTTCCCTAGTAAGCATGTTATACGATGATGAGTTATGATGCTTGATGATGTGCGTGATATATATTGTTTGATGTATGACGTACTTGATATGTTTTATGCACTTTATGGCAATATGATGAGTATGATGATTGCATAACATTTGTCTTAATATGTTGATGTTTTCCATAGTAAGCATGTTACAATCCTACCAACACCAATAAGCTAATGTATCATTGTAAATGACGTAATCGATTCTTCATTTGCATTATCTCTTCAATCCCAAGTTGTAAATAAAAACACTATAAGGTCAAAGGTTCATCTCTTTTATATTTATTGAAATAAAAAGCATCATAGTGATACTGACAGTAAAACGCACACAATTTACAAAGAACTTTCATCCTTCAAAATTTCTCCTTTCTTGCTTAATAGTGATAATTTGTACTTTCTTTCCATTATTAAAGTGTAATCACAATAACATATGAAGTTACTTTCTATCCAAACTTTCTCATGAATGTGTCAACAATAGAGACCTTCGTCGATGCAATGCATACCATGTCAACAAAAGCTATGTATGTCAGATGCCTCTAACATGATGATACCAAATTGGATGGATTCATTTCGGATGATACATTGATATATATATTTTTTTTGGGTTAATCATTCTTATACTTTTTGTCCTTGAGAAATATGGCAAGAAGAAGCATAAGAATGATATAAAAAAAAAAAAAAAAAGAATAAATAAAATAAAAAAAAAAATCTATTTTTTATTTAAGCTATAAAAATGTCAAATAAATTTTTAATATTTTATTTTAATTAATATTAAAAAAATTACTTTTTAATCTTCCATTTTAAACTTCTAAAAAATACCACTCATAAATTTAATACTTTATCTATTTTTTTAATACATAAATAATGAAAGGTCGAACTTTAAACTTTACCTAAAAGGAACTAATAAAATACAATATCAGTTGCTAACAAAAGCTAACCGCTAACGAGCGCCAGAGAAATTCAGAAAGTTTAGTTGACCCCTTTTACATCCTGTTATGGAAGATATTCCGTAATAATCAAAAGGTACATCACACTTGAACTAATTGCGGTTAAAATATAACTACTTAGAGCCGCAGTTTCCCTATATGTGTATATATATATATATATATATATATATATATATATATATATATATATATATATGTATATATATAAGAGATAGAATCCAAGTACATTTGTAGTAAAAAAGGGTGAGTGATCTTGGAGAAGAAAATGGAGTCTCTAAGCACATTATGTTTAATCGTGTTGGTTGCTTTGACATCGAACAATATGATGAGGTTTTGTTTTGCAGAATCTAAGCTACAATTACCGTTCGTCCAATATAAAGTGATTATTTTAAATGAGATGACTGCTTCAACTCTAACTGTTCATTGCAAGTCAAAAGATGACGATCTGGGCGAGCACATACTGCGCACTGGAGATAATTACAACTGGAGCTTTAGAGAAAATTTTTGGATTTCTACGTTGTTTTGGTGTCATTTTAGCAGCAAACATGGACAAGTTAGTGGGAATGTTTTTTGGACAGCCAAATGGAATTGGCTTAATTTTCAATGTGTTCATCATACCTGCACTTGGGCATGTCGAGACCAAGGTATTTACTTGTATTTTGGATCTCGCAATGTCTTCGAGTTAATGTATCAATGGAAATGATACACTCGGACTTTCATTTAATTTCAATAAATAAGTTTATGAATAAAAATGCTCATTATCTTTTATGAAGTTAAGGGTTCAATTTTAATCAAATTTGATTTTCAACCGAAAAAATGATAAAACAGAGTAAATAAAAAGAGAATGTAACACCCGAATCCGGATGACAAACTTAAAAATCTAACTTTTTCCTTTTAAGTTGAACTTATGAGATTTTATTGAGGGTATTAGAGATTAAATTTTGAGACGAGGTAGAAGACAAAAATGTTTAGAAATATCTCAAGAACTCAAGGAAAAATATATAAAATGAAAAATGATGGTAAATTATGAAAAATTGTCAAATTCAACCGAGAAGGATATTTTGGTCATTCTACCATCTTCCTCATTAAGAGCCTCAAATGGAGGTTAGTAAAAGATAAATAAAAGAAAAGAAAAAAAAAATGGAGAGAAGAAGGTTGTAGACAGAATTGGAAGTAACAGCCACTTTCGATCTGGCTACGAGGAGTCCGATTCCGGCGGAGATTTCTTCACAAATACTTCACAGAACTGAAGCATTATGGACCCTCGAATCGTCCAAAACCATCATGGAACGGAGGAAATCCATAAGTAAATTCTTGAAACTTGGTTTTCGGATTTTCCTTAGATCTGTGAGAAATATGAGGATTTAAATTATGAAATTTAGGTATGTTAATCTAGAGTGGTCTGCTATCATATTCCATGAAGTAAGTCTTGATCGATTTAGATCGGAAATAGGAGTTCCCACTTTCACCAAAGGATGTAAGTATTGATGTTTCTTGCCAACTTTGGACTAAGTTTATTATAGCTGTGGTTAGAAATAAATTACAAGAAAGAAATATACCTATATGTGGATGGACATGAGGCCGACAAATCTCGTGAAGGAAATACGAAAATGCAAAGAAAATAGAAAATAATCGATTTTCTGAAAAATCACAGAGATGAGAGGTAGAAGACGAACAGTGGAGGGACGCATGTAAGGAAAGTAGAGGGCCGCGCGTCGCCGGAAAGATGGGACACGTGTCCGGCGTGGAATGGCGGAGGAAAATCACAAAAAAAATACTGCGTCAAGTAAGGTTTGAAGACCGACGCCTGCTACAAGATCCGTGAACCCGCACGAGACCCGAACCCATCAACCGACCCATCCCGTGTTCGCCACGCGTCAGCGTGGGAAAAATCGTAGGAACCCGCGTGCATACAGATTCGAACGCACGCCCTGGCTCTTAGTGGGCCAGTCAGCACTCGCCACGTGACGGAAACCAGGGCGTCCGTACGCGCGCGTGGGAAATTCCTCCAGCACGTGAACCAGCGCGTGAGACTCTTTTTATTCCGATTTGACTTCCGTTCGACTATTTTTCATCTCGGTTTTGATACTGATCTAAGTCTAACTTGATTTAGGACCTATAAGCAAACTTTCAAGAGTTTTGAAGCTCTTAATTAGCCAAAAAGTAAGCTTCGAAGGGCACGCCTCATTCCAATAAGTAACCATACGGATTTAGGAAGTAATACTTGTAGGGTGCGCTTGGTTTTGCATACATGCTGGAGAAAATTACTCATAGGTGGCTAGATCTAATGATCCTCCATACTTAGGGAATTAAATATATATTTGTTGGACTTGCTGCCCTAGTGAGATTTTGTACTCGTTGTTTGTATGCTTGCTGGACTATCTTACTACTGCTTTTATCTGTTGATACTATGTTGGCGGACGGGAGAATTTGTGTATCTGCACTCCGGGTGTTGATGGATGTTACCGCCTCGTTGAGCTTTATGATTGTATGCGTTGTTAATCATACATAAACTCCTCTTAAATGATTGTGTGAACTTATGATATGATTGATAAGTTGTAGTGTTGTGATATGTCTAGGGTGAACTCTTGTAGGGATTGAGTTGGGTTTAGTTAGGGGACCCTCCTGATGTTACGGTCTATTGTGTCGTGAGCGACGCTTAGAGGGAGAGACCCTTTAACCCTGAACTGTTATGGACTTGGGAGTCTTGCTTGAGTGACTTTGGAAGCCAGGGCCCCTAACTCAATAGTTTTAACTACCCTTGAGATATAGAGAACCACATTAGGACCCCGAGGTGTAGAGAGATGACCTCTTAGCCAACAGTATCTAGTATAGCGTTCGAGTATGCTCTACTTTCCTTCCTACTCCACAGTGGTACTGTTGAGCTAGATGAGACACCAGTTAGGGAGATCTTACCCTCCCCTGCCTACTCTGGTGTGGTACCGTTGAGCTAGACGAGACGCCAGTTCGTGAGATGTTACTCTTCCCTTCCTACTTCGGTGTGGTACAGTTGAGCTAGGCAAGACGCCAATTAGGGAGGTGTTACTCTTCCCTTCCTACTCCGGTGTGGTACTGTTGAGCTTGGCGAGACGTTTGTTAGGGAAGTGTTACTCAGTGGTAGATCGACTACTCTGCATGGGGATTTGTCTTATGGTAAGATGTTGATCACGCGAGTGGGTCATGGTCACCTGCATGATGGGTTCGTCCTGTGGAAGGACGTTGACCATGCAGTGACTAATTCTAGCTGGGTTGTACGAGGGGTACATGTAGTTATGAGGGAACACCTCATCCTCAAACGTTGAATATCGCTTCAAAGGTTAAGTTCTTCCACCCTAAACTGTATACTGAGAGTACTGAGACTCCAAGGTCTAGAGTATAGTTGGTGGTTCTCTCCTAAACTTGGACGCGATTAAGGGCCGCCTACAAGTAGGTTGCTTGCTAAGTATATTTTTATACTCACCCCGTTTCCCCTTCTTTTTTTCAGATATCGGTCGAGGTGAGGAAGTGTTCGAGAGCTGCACTGTCACAGAGGAGTGTCGTTCCAGAGCGTCAGTCCCTTGTCTGTCTTTTAGAGTCTTTTGTATTTTTCTTTCATAATTGTATTTCCTGATTTAAATATTATTAGATTTTCATCTTCTATTTTATCTTCTTTTAAATTTTTATTTTTATTCAATTTCGTCTTTTTAGTCACTATTCGATTTTTCGAAGCCTCGAAAATCGGGTCGTGACAAAAAAAAAAATTACAACATTAAAATAAATACATAGAGGAGGGAGGAAGCAAAGGAAAAAAGAGGAAATTTATCCAAATAAATACATAGATGAAAAAGGAAAAAAATTTAATAGAGAATACAAAGATGTAGTTTAACTGATAAAAAGAAAAATTGGGTGAACATAATTAAAATAAATAAGAAGAAGTGAAACCTAGTAAAAAGCAAAAATTTAATGGAGGAAATGAAAGATTCCGTGAACATTAAAAAAAAATAACTGAAGAAAAAAAAAATCTAGAAAATAAAGACTCCCTTCTGCCTTTGCACTCGAGGGTCAATCTCTGTCTGGCCCGAGGAAACCTTTGCACGCCTCCGTTACCTTTTGGGAGGCCTACGCCCCATAGAAACTGTCTACCTGAGACTGTCCCTTTCCTGCGGAGCTTAGGTGGAGGGCGAAGAAGGCCCCCTTCCGGGGGGCCCGAGCCATCAGTGAGATACCACTCTAGAAGAGCTAGAATTCTAACCTTGTGTCAGGACCTGAGTAAAAATGAGAGACATGAAATTGATTAAATTGTCTTTTGTTATCGGTGTAATTCAAATGGAATAATATTGACACCACCCTTAATGTAAAAGTGAGAGACATGAAATTGATTCTAATGTCTTTTTCAATTGCACTTAAGTTTAAAGTTTAACGGCATACGCCTAATTGAATAGGTACTTGCCTAAAGTCTCTTAACCTATTATGTTTAATCATATTGATGGCTTTGGAACCAAACAATATGATTAAGTCGTGTTTAGTAGCATCCAAGGTGCAAGTTACACTCTTAGCATCCAAGATGCAACCCATACTGTCCAATTGGCAAGAGACCATTTTGAATACGGTGGCGGATTCATCTCTGATGGTTCACTTCAAGTCGAATGGTAACGATTTGGACGAGCATGTCATCAACTCTAGAGGTAATTACAACGGGAACTTTAAAGAAAATATTTTTTGCAAACCACATTATTTTGGTGAAATTTTAGCAGCAAATATAGGCGGGTTACTAATAATGTTTTCTGGCCAGAACAATAGAGGTGGCTTAGTGATCAATGTGTTGATCATAACTGAATTTGGACACAGGTAGACCCAGACATTTCCTTACATTATAATCCTACAAACACCAATAAACTAAATCAATGTTTTTAATACATAAATAATTTACCTAAAAAGAACTAATAAAATACAAAATCAGTTGCTAACAAAAACAAACCAGTGCTGAAATTATGATGTATGTTTAGGTGACCATACCTTTTACATTATGTTATGGAAGATAATCTATAATAACCAAAATGTAGAACACACATTGAACTAATTGTGGTTAAAATATAACTACTTACAACCTTAATTTGGCTATATGTATGTATATATATATAAGAGATAGAAGCCAAGTACATTTGTAGAAAAGGGTGAGTGATCTTCGAGAAGAAAATGAAGTCTCTAAGCACATTCTGTTTAATGGTGTTGGTTGCTTGGACATCAAACAATATGATGAGGTTTTGTTTTGCAGAATCTAAGCTACAATTACCGTTCGTCCGGTATAAAGTGATTATTTTAAATGAGATGACTGCTTCAACTCTAACGGTTCATTGCAAGTCAAAAGATGACGATCTGGGCGAGCACATAGTACGCACTGGAGATAATTACAACTGGAGCTTTAGAGAAAATTTTTGGATTTCTACATTATTTTGGTGTCATTTTAGCAGCAAATATGGTCAAGTTAGTGGGAATGTTTTTTGGACGGACAAATGGAATTGGCTTAATTTTCAATGTGTTCATCATACGTGCACTTGGGCATGTCGAGACCAAGGTATTTACTTGTATTTTGGATCTCACAATGCCTTCGAGTTAATGTATCAATGGAAATGATACACTCTCACTTTTATTTAATTTCAATAAATAAGTTTATGAATAACAATGCTCATTAATTTTAAAACTTCAATATCTTCAAACCAATTAGTTCAGATAAGATAGCCCTGATGTCGAGGCACTATCATGAATGGTTGATAGAAACTATCTTGTAATGCTATGTTTATGACGGCGGTAAAAGTCACACATTATTAATGACAACAACATGGTGCCAACAGACATGAACAAATCTATGCCAAGTTTACCAGACTTATTTTTGGTTGGGGACCTCATCACTCGTAAGTATATTACAATATTATCGTGCATGTCAAAGTATATGAAATTCTTGGTTTGAAAATTTTGTCGTTCAAACTTTAGGTTTAGGTACAACAAAATTTAATCTAAACGTCATATCATATATTAGATTCAAACTAATAATGCATCAGTAACTGTTAAGGATATTTAGTAATAAATTATAGTTTACCATATATATTATATTTGATATTTTATTATAAGGCAAATATTAGATATTTGCCTTATTACCATAGGTATCTTTCCATTTATTATTATTTCCATTTATTACTATTTCCATATCCTTGTAATTTATTTGATTATAAATAAGATAACTTTTACACCATTCATAAGTGGTGGATTAATCAAACATTCACATGGTATCAGAGCCCTTTCGGTTTAACAACCCCGATCTTTTCTTTTCAATGGCTTTTGAATCCTCTAATCTTCTTCTCCACCACCCCTGCTGGCTTTGACGCCTCAGGGGCAGTCTTCATGGCTGCCGCAGGCGGAGCCGATTGATTATAAATAAGATAACTTTCACACCATTCATAAGTGGTGGATTAATCAAACATTCACAGTAACAATCCACTAGACATTTAAATGAACAAGGTAAGAAAGTTAGTAACATCTTGGTAACATCTGTTTCTTATTATTCAAATAAAAATTTGTTTACAATTTCAAATTTTCCATCAATAAATAGAAAATAACTCCATGAATGAGCGGTTTACCATTTAGAAATTCTCATATGAAGACCTTTAAATAAAATAATTTTACACAACAGTATAAGTATTCAATTTAATTTCTAGTCTCGAGTTAGAATGAGTTGTTTGGATTTCATTGTTTTAAATTATTTTATATTTTTTTTAATTTCTTTAAATTTCAGTATTTC